CTTCAAAAATCAGTTTTCTTTTGCGGGGGGTGGTGACTGAGATTCTCAGAGAAGAGAATGGGTGAGGCCCATGCTCCCACAGTGCAGACTACAAAAAGCTTTCATAGTTTTATTCTAAAAGATTTGCACATCTCTTTTCATTTTATTCCTAAGTAGTGGGAGGGTTTTTTGCTGTTATTTTAATGAGACCTGTTATTTTCACTGCTTTGCTTATCAATTTTCTGGCTGCTCATCCTCCTTCTGTTCACATGGCTTCCTTCAGGCAGGTACAATAGAATTGATGAGTTGGCACTTGAGAGAACACCAGATCACCAACCAAGGTGCTCAAAAACCCTTCTGACACTCACGGTCTGGCTCACTCCCACCACCTGACTGAGTACAGATTTCACGGGTTCACTCTCCAAGAAGAGCCTATTTTCTGTACATGGGGAAGGGGGGAGACTCACTGTGACCCTCGTAATCCACAATTTTAAAGAAGAATCCTTCTCTCTATATTACCATTTAGAAATGATAATTATAAGCAATGATTTTAACTACCAAGCATCACATACTCACTGTGTGAACTAGGCACCATCTCCTATATTAGCTCATCAAATCTGTACAAATTTATACACATTTGTACAAATGGGAGCCCCTACTCCCATTTTACAGAGGAAGGAACTGAAGTTGGGAGATAAATAACAAGCCCAAGGTCACAAAACCAGCAAGTGGCAGAGCTGGGACTCACACATCCTAGCTGGCTACTGGGTCTAACATCAAAGCCTATGTTTATTATCATCCATTAGATTCCTTGGGACCATCGAAGACAAAGGCAGTGTTTCCTAAGGATTAAGGCAGCTTCACAGACAGATGAAATACATTTTCCTCTTTCAACTTAATACACTGCCAGCAGATCTAGGAGACTGGAAGACAGTTTTTCTTTGGCTCCTTAACACATAGGGGAGGGGGAACCATGAGATCAAATAGGCCAATGACAGTGGTCACAGACCTAGGGATTATCTTTCCCTCCAAAGCTACCCAAAGATCCCCTAAGACCTTGCCTTTCCCAGCCTCACCTGTCAGTGACTCTCTGCAGTGGCAGTGACCCTGGACCCGGACACAGCACATCCCAAACTCATCCTGTCTGAGGACCGGCGATGTGTGAGGCTTGGAGACAGAAGGCAGCCTGTGCCCGATGGCCCCCAGAGATTTGACTTTGTCGTCAGCGTCCTGGGCGCTGAGTACTTCACGGTGGGCTGTCACTACTGGGAGGTGGACGTGGGAAACAAGACCAAATGGGCCCTGGGAGTGTGTAGTGAGTCCGTGAGCAGGAAGGGGAAGGTCACTGCCACGCCCGCCAATGGACACTGGCTTGTCCGCCAGAGTAGCGAGCAGGAGTATGAAGCTCTCACATCCCCACAGACCACCTTGCGCCTCAAGGAGCCCCCACGGTGCGTGGGGATTTTCCTGGACTATGAAGCAGGCATCGTTTCCTTCTACAATGTGACCAGCAGATCCCACATCTTTACTTTCACCCACACTTTCTCTGGCCCCCTTCGCCCTTTCTTTGAGCCTTGCCTTCATGATGGAGGGAAAAATACAGCACCTCTAATCATCTGCTCGGAACTCCAGAAATCAGAGCCACCAACTGGCCACAAGCCAGAAGAAAAAGGCCATGCGAATGGAGACGTGGCCATGAACGTGGACCCTTCCTTACTCCCTCCTCAGGCACCGGAGCTTTTCCCACCTGGGGATACGATCCTGCCCTGGCCCACTGACCTTGCCCCAGCCCTACAGGGGCTCAAGGTTCCTTCTTTTTAGGGCTGTGCCTCATTACCTGCTCCCCTGATGGTCCAGCACCCTACCCTGGATTTCAGTCTGTTGGCCCAACACCTGATTCCAAAACATCCCATCGCCTTTCCCCAGTTCTAGACCTTGTGATTTTGATTCAACCCACCTTTCACTCAGGGCTCAGTTCTAAACTCTGTCATCCTTCTGGGGACTTAAAATTCCCATTGCTCTGGAAGAATTTCTGAAAACCAAATGAAGGTTTGGTGATGATTAGGTTTAGGTGATGACGGTGAATGTGTGTCATCAAGATACAGGGGTTCTCTACTCAAGGAGCTATTTAGAGGAACTTCACCCTGCCTCATCCTGCACTTGACCTTTTAGTCACGAAGTTATGGTGCCCAGTCCCTGACTTCTCTCTTGTCCCCTCCAGAATGGCTTTTTCCCTTCTCTCAGTGCAGACCAAAGCCAGCTTTTTAAAAGTAAACATATTTTGGGTCACACGCTCTTCCTTCTTTCTTCTGGAATATGGGTTGGGGAAGCTGGAAGGGTAAAACATGCCATCCTTTTCTGTTTCCTTGATGCTTGTTTACACTATAGTTTCCTGACATTCAGAGCTAATGTACACGTTTTCAAAGCTAACTTACCTATTGATGCTAACCAGGTGCAGGGATTTTAAATGTGGTAGCCATAATCCTGAAAAGCCTCAAGAGCACAATCAGGGAGCTGGGAGGCACAGTTTCAAACACAGCAGCCCAGCTGTGCGTGGCCTTGGAAAGACAGCCATGGATGAGTCTGTCTGTTACCCTGGCCTTTTCGAATTTCCTCCTGGGATTTAGAGAGGTCCAGCTAGAAAAGTGGCAGTTTTAACCACCAATGTAGAGGCTTTTTTTCCCCATAAGACCATTATCCTACAAGACGTGACTACTTGTGTAGCAAACAGCCTCTTAGGTGAGAGTATTGATTTCAAATAGGAAGTTGGTAGCTCCTGTGTGAGGTTAAAATAATGAACCTCATTTTTTGGCATGGATTGCAGAAAGAAGCCTACTCACTTTCAAGTCATTGCACACATGTGATCTGGCCTCTTTGTGGAAATACTGGCTGATCTCAGTTTGCAGATGAGTACACAGTTCTACCCAATAGAAACTGGATCTTTCTGGGTGCCTGGGTGGCTCAGTTGGTTAAGCGACTGCCTTCGGCTCAGGTCATGATCCTGGAGTCCCGGGATCGAGTCCCACATCGGGCTCCCTGCTCGGCAGGGAGTCTGCTTCTCCCTCTAACCCTACCCCCTCTTGTGCTCTCTCTCTCAGTCTCTCTCTCTCTCTCAAATAAAATAAATAAATAAATAAATAAATAAAATAAAATAAAATAAAAAAGAAACTGGATCTTTCTGTCAGAAGTTCTCTCTGTTAGTGCTTGTAATAGTTAGGATCCTCCTGGGCAATATATGTTTGTTATATTTATATGTATAAAGAGATTTATTATAAGGAATTGGCTCACATGATTATGGAGGCTGGCACGTCCCTAGATCCGCAGGGTTAGTCAGCAAGCTGGAGACGAAGGGGAACCAATGGCGTAGTTCCAGTTTGAAGGCTGACAAGCTGGAGACCCAGGAAGAATCAATATTTCCATATGAGCCTGAAAGTAGGGAAAAAAAGCTGATGTCCCAGGCTAAAGACTGTCAGGCAGGAAGAATTCTCTCATACTAGGGGGAGGGTTGCTTTTTGGTTCTATTCAGGCCTTCAACTGATTGGATGGGGCCCACCTACATTAGGGAGAGCAATCTGCTTTACTCATTCTACCAATTTAAATATTAATCTCATCCAAACACACCCTTCACAGAAACAGTCAGAATAATGTTTAACCAAATGTCTGGGCACCCTGTAGCCTGGTCAAGTTGATATATAAATGTAATTATCACAATGCATGGGCAAAATTTTTGGTTTGCTTTTGCACAGTTCTTAAATAAAATTTGATATTTGTTGTTTGGCATGATGTTATTTTCCTCATGAATGAGAAGTTGTGGGGAAGGGCTTTGCACTGGTAATAGGAAAACACCTTATGGGATTGGTTTTTGAATAGCCTTGAATCCACCCAAGCAAGCTTTAACCACAGTTAGAAATAAAGCCACAGTTTTATTTCTGATCTGCCTTCTCAGTATTTTATTTATATCAATTTATAAAATAGTGTATGTGGGGGATTTATATTTTACTCATTCATACTCAGTTTCAAACATACTTTCCAGAATATCTTAATCTTAAAAACTAATTCCCATTGTTCACACTGGCTGCACACAAGAGAATTTACCAGCAGGAAAGAGAACTGATACTTGCGGAAGCAGAAGCTTTACCTCATTTAATCCTTGAAACAATTCTGCCAGGGATTTTACAGGGGAGGAAAATGGTGTTCCAAATGGTTGGGCGGTACAACTGGGATTATAAATCTAGTTTATCTAGCTCTGAAGACAATATTCTTTGCTCTTTGCACTGAAATACCGTGCAGGTATGAGAATATTCTATTAGACTTTTTTTTTTTTTTTTAATAAAACTTGGGGGAAAAAAAAACCTTCACCCTGGATATACCTTAGAAGTCTTATTGTGCCGGCTTGATGAATGGCAGTCAGCTTTATCCAGGTAGGACGCAGAAAAATCCCTGTGCAGAAGCGTTGGGGAACCCAGAGGCAGCGCCTCATACGGGGAACGTTTAGTTTCTCTGACAAACGGATTGGGTTAGTTGATCTTTAATCTCCCTTCTAGTTCTACAATCCTTTGACTTTTAATTATAAACCTCAAGTAAAGCGCGCGAATCAAGGCTTCACGGGATGTCTACAGGATCGTCAAGTGCCACCAGCTCAAAGTAAAGAAGAAACTGAGTTCATGATTCCGTGGAGGTCATTCACGTTAGCTCTACGTATTCTACTGCTGGCCAGACCAGTGGCCCCGCACCTTGGGCTTTTAACGCGTGAACGTAGAAAGAAATCTGAGGACCTTGGAAGAGAACTCAGTCTCGGCTACTCAGTTCTAAACTTCGCAGATTCCTTCTCCGAGTCTACGCTCTTCCTCAGGACTACAACTCCCAGCAGGTCTTGCCCGAGGCCAAAGCTTATTGGCGGCCCCGCCTGGGTTTCTTGCGTTGTGGCAGCCAGTACAGCCAGTGGGAAGGAAGGCTTCTCCTCAGGAACCAATCCTGGAAAGGTAGGGCGGGTCCTTTCTGGGTTCCGGCTCCGGCTCCTCCCCCGGCCCACCGAGGCGGCGCTGTCCCTGACGGAGCGGCGGGAGCGAGGTGGGTCCGGGTTGGGCCCGAGGTCGCGGGGGGAGGTGGACACGGCTTCGCGGGGAACTCTGAACGTGGCCCCCTCCCTCCCTCCGGGGAGTTAGAGGCTGTGGCTTTGCTCCCTGGATCCGGTGGGGAGTAAATGGGACCCGGTGGTCCCCTCGCCCCGACCCCTGGCCCCCGCCCCTGGCCCGCGCGGCCAGGAGGCTGCCCTAGCCCCTCCCCACAGGCCCTCCAGTTGGCCTTTCAGTCCAGGTCCTCCCCCCGCCGGCACCGACCATACTTTGGGGGCCAGCCCCTCCCCCTCTCTCATCCCTCCCTCCCAAGCCATCCGGCTACTCAAAACCCAGACCTATGCTCTAGGACGCGCGTATCCTAGACTCCGCCATCGGCTTCTCCCCGCTACTCACAACCCAGCGTCTTGGGCCCCGGTCCCCTAACACCTCTGATTGCAACCTGTGCCTCCTCTCCCCTGCCCATCTCCTGCGGGCCCTCTGACTCCTTTCGTCCCCTCTATCTGACCCGTTATGCAGCTACCCGGTACAGTTCCCTGTTCAACACCTTGTCCCTGGTCTTTCTAAGCTCCTCTCTCTGCATCATTCCCCACCCCCTACCCCTTGACTTCACCCTAAAGACCCCGAACTTTGGCCCTTCAGACCACTTTCCAGCTTGGCCCCTTCACTCTAACCCAGGCCCTTGACCTTCAGCATCTGTGATCACCAGCCCTATCTTCTTGGCTATTACTTCTTAGCCCTGGCTGCTTTTCCACTGCCCCAATCCCTTCCACCCTTGGTCCTCCCTGTACCTCTGAGCCTCCTGGCCCCAATGGGCCCTTCTCTCCCCAAATCTTTGAAATGTGACATGAAAGTGCTTCTGTACTTTACCTGCCACTATGTTCTCAGTAGACAGTGGGCTCCCCATCTCTGCAAGTCCCAATCTTGCTCACCCATCCTGCAAAGTCCTAACTCAGATACTGCCTTATCCCTGCAGCTGCTCATCCCTGATCTCTTCAGGGAGACTCGCCTGTGTCATCTGAACTCACCTGGCACTGTTCTTATTCCTTCCTCCTTCCCTTCACCGCCCCCCTCCTCCAGTCTCCTGTCTCCCTTCTCCTCTCCCTCCCTGTCTTCCTCCCTCCTTCTCTCCATTGCTAGTGTCATGCTTAAAAGCCCTGGCTTTGGAGTAATGGGCATAGGTCCCAGTTCTGCCACTCACTTGCTTTGTGCCCTGGGGCAAGTTACAATTTCTCTGAGCCTCAGTTTCCTCATCTCTAAAATAGGTTGTGAAAATGAAGTGACATGATTTGCATATAGTGTTCAGTCCAGGGCCTGGCACTTAGTATGAGCTTCAAAAATGTTTATTATTATTGGTTCCTGTATAATATGCCAGGTGCCGTGCGAGGCATTGAGGAGTGGATACAAAGGTGACTAAGGCACAGTTCCTGACCCCCCAGAACTGAACCTTCTACACTGTATGCCAGTTTCTGGAGTTCGTGGCCTATTTCCCTGCACTGTGCCATAAATTGAGGGTAATAATCATAATCCTAAATCTTTTTGCTCTTATTTTGATCCAGCATTTGGTCCTGAGTAGAGTCAGAGCCTGGTATATTGCAGGCTGTTAGAATAACAGGATTGGATGTGAGAGGGGGCCAGGTAGCCCCCTGCAGAGAGAGGTATTGGAGCCCTTGGTGGGGTGGGCAGGGCTGGGGACTGAATTCAGATCATATCCATTGACTCAGACATTCAGAAAACATTTGAGCAGTGCCTCGTGCTGGGGAGAGATTGCCAAAATGACCCAGTCTCTGCCCTCAAATTGCTTATTAACTGCTAGTGGAAACAGATATGTGAAAAGATCATTGCAAATCACTGTAAAAGCAAGTACGTACAAGATTCTGTGGGTGCCTAAAGGTGGAAGAGTGGGCAGATTCCTGAGGAACAGTGGGGGAGACAGCCACAAATAAGCATGAAATGGGTTCTGGAGACAGGCCTGCCCTTCACTCAGCTCATTCAACGAATATTTGTTAAAGATCTGCTATAAATGACTGTCACTACTTGAGGAATTTGGGTTACATTAGAAAACAAAGACCCTGTCCCTCATGGGACTTATGTTTTAGCAGGGGGAGGCAGACACTAAAAGATGTAAGAAATAAATAGAATGTTAGCAGGTGAGAAGTGCCGTGGGGCAGGAGCACTGGGAGTGTGAGAATGGGGTTGTGATTTTTAAAAGGATTGTCAGGAAACAGTGAGTAAGTATCAAGGAATAAATTGTTTCTGATGTTTACTTGCATTTTTCAAAGTGAAGCAAGCCTCCTTCATGTCTCTTATCTAGATTTTTCAAGAAACACTCTCTAACAGGGACTGGTAAACTGTAGTTCACCTCCCTTTGTTTTAAATAAAGTTTTATTGGAACACAGCCACACTCATTCCTTTATGTATTGTCTGTGGCTGCTTTTATGATAAGAAGGCAGAGTTGAGTGGTTGCAACGGAGATCCTGTGGTCCCAGATGTTTACTAAATATTTACTGCCTTGCCCTTTCCAGAAAAATTTGCCGGCCTCCACTCAAAGATTTGAGGCTCTGTCAGTATTTCACCATTTTTTGTTTTTCTTGTACTGTTTTTTAATTAAAAAAAATTTTTTTTCTTTCCTAACAAGATCATGTAAGGGATCTTTTTCATTCTTGTAATCTGTGCAGGGCTAGGATATAGTGTCCTCCACAGTGGTCATAGCGGCTGTCATTTGCTGCGTTACTCGTACGCGCCACAAGCACGCTGAGCGCACTGGGGGCATCTCCTCCGCCACAGGGTCCTGCAGTATAGACAGGCGTCGCGGTGTTAGCGATGTGGGAGTCGAGGCTCAGAGGGCTTGAACGATTTGCACAGTTCTATAGTGTGTGTCGCTATCAGGATCCAGCCTGAAGTGTAGTCAGTGCCCCTTCCGTGACTGCTCTTGTGTGTTCCAGAAATACTTGCTGACCTGAAGGAATTCTGTCACGTTCTCCCCTCGCTGGCCTGTCACAGCCTGTGCTTCCGCCCCTTGTCTCTTGCTCGTGTCACTGCACAGCATCTGTGCATGCCCGCCGGGCCTTCCCCGCCATTATTGCCTCAGGGCCCAGAGGAAACACCACCTGCACTGGCCCGGAAGTACTTCGTCTCCTCGTGGCCTGTCCCGGGCTGTAGGAGCTCAGAGTCTGTGTCGCCCAGCAAGCATTTACTGATGTTTGCCGAAGTTGGCAGTGTGTATGTGTAGCTGTGTGTGGGGGAGAGAATGTGGTTTGTATCTGCAAGTCTTTGTAGGTGGCATGTGAGTGTGTGTGTGTGTGTGAGATTTTGTGTGGGGTACGGATATACCCGTATGTGTGATTGTGTAGCCACGTACGTGGCTAAATGTTTGGAAGGGCTGTGTGTGTATATGTGATGTGTGTGACTGTCAGTTTCTATAAGTGTGAGTGTGTGGTGTGTGTGTATGTGTCTGTGTGTGGCTGTATGTGTGTGACTATGGTAGGTGTGTATGGTGTGAGAACATGGTTGAGTGTGGCTGGCATGTGAGAATGGCTGTGTGAGTGTGTGTGTGTGTGTGTGTGATGTGGTGTGCATGTGGCTGTGCATGGTGTTGGAGAGTGGAAGTGGATATTGACCAATCAGCAGACATAGCCCAGTCCCCACAGTGGGTCGTGGAGGGCCCCGATGTTAACCCTAGTTGCTAGGCTAGGCTGCGGTCTGGGGAAGGGAAGGGTGGCGGAACATTTAAGAGAATTTAAACAACTGGGAGAGCCTCAAGAATGAGAGGTTCTGTTCATTTTGAAAGCAGGCAAATGGATACTTTTAAGGAAGGTTTTTCAAAAAAGATTAAACATAAAAGGAGTTTCAGTTAGCTTAGAGTTAGGCAGAGAAATGGAATTGTCCCCAACTGGAAGCTCCTTTAGCTGCACATGAATTAAGAGTCTAGACTGTCATTGTTTAGTGGTATGAAGAAAAGTGACATTATTCACATTGCACAACTATCTGTTGGGAGGGGACAAAAGTGATGCCTTCTTTTTACTCTGATGGGTAGCTTTAAATATCTGTGGAAGTTTGTCACTTGAGAGTTATTAAGTAAAGGCATTCTCTCTAAGTATTCCCGTTAATTGAGGTCATTTCTGATGGATGGTTCCATGGGGAAGGTGTACACCCCTTCAGCCAGAGCAAAGTTGCCCTGTGGTGGAGCCGGACCCCAGGAATAAAGGTGTTGGCCATTTGTGTTCATTCTCAGGGTTCAGAAATGGGCAGTGAGAAGGAGCAGAATCCAGAACAGCACCTGCCTGAGGAAGGGGAATGGGGTAAGCCGTGGAGAGTGGATGACTCAGAGGGTTTTCGGATCCCAGACGGGGAGAAAGAGCACGGGCAAGAGAGCCCATCGGAGGGTCCGCAAGAGATCCATCCCAAAAAGCCGTGGCAGAAAGTCACTGTCCCCGCGGGAGAGCCCAGAGGCCCCACGGCTCACCCGAGGCCCGAGACCGATGAGAAGCCCTTCATATGTGCCCAGTGTGGGAAAACCTTCAATAATACCTCCAACCTGAGAACACACCAGCGCATCCACACGGGCGAGAAGCCTTACAAGTGTTCCGAATGTGGCAAGAGCTTCTCGAGGAGCTCCAACCGCATCCGGCACGAGCGGATCCACCTGGAAGAGAAGCACTACAAATGTCCCAAGTGTCAGGAGAGCTTCCGGCGGCGCTCGGACCTCACCACGCACCAGCAAGACCACCTGGGCAAGCGGCCATACCGCTGTGACATCTGTGGCAAGAGCTTCAGCCAGAGCGCCACTCTGGCGGTGCACCATCGGACCCACTTGGAGCCAGCACCCTACATCTGCTGTGAGTGCGGGAAGAGCTTCAGCAACAGCTCCAGCTTTGGCGTGCACCACCGCACGCACACAGGTGAGAGGCCCTATGAGTGCGCTGAGTGTGGGCGGACCTTCAGCGACATCTCCAACTTTGGAGCACACCAGAGGACCCACAGAGGGGAGAAGCCCTACTGGTGCACTCTGTGCGGGAAACACTTTTCCCGGAGCTCAAACCTCATCCGCCACCAGAAAACGCACATGGGAGAGCAGGCTGGGAAAGACTCCAGCTGAAGGACGATGAGGGAGAGAGGCGGAGAGACCCCAGCCTTGTGTAGGAAGATCTCTAGGATCTGCTGCTGCCCCCTTGACCTCAAGCCCTTCATCCCACTTTGGAGAATGGTTTCCTGTTGCCTCTGAAGCCAGGATCTCTGGAAAGTCCTGAGAAGGGACTCTTGAGTAAGAATCCTTGCCGCTCTCCAGGCCAATTTCTTGCCTTGGAAAGTTTGGAGGATCCAGTCTTGGCTTCATCTCCTTGGGAGGAAAGAGAAGTAGGGTAGGCTTAGCACATGCTCATGTCATTAGGGCAACCATCCCCTGGCCTTTGAGGAAGTACCTGTGAGGTGGGCATCACTGTCTGAAGGTCCTCCAAATCGTAGATGAACTGCTTAGGGCATATTGTGGTGGCTGTCAGTTCCCATCTGCTGTGCCCCACCTGCGCTGGGAGGAGCTGCCTTCCCAATGGAAGGGGCCTCCTCAGCCTGGAGAAGAGGTCTGGTCCTGCCTTAGGAACGAAAGGGAAGCCCTCAGGGAGCCACGATCCAGGGACCTTCACAGTCCCCCATGTTTGTGACTTGTTCCCCCACCCTAACCTGCATCTGTGATTAGCAGTAAAACCCTTCAATGAAAAGGACCTGTGTACTTATTTGGGGCATCGAGGAAGTGGGAGCCGGGGAGCTGGTTGCACTGCAGCCTCCCTGCAAGGGGGCTGGATCCCAGGAAGAATGGGTGGCTGCTCTGAAAAGCAGAGGAAAGCAGGCTGAGTCTCTGGGGCCTTTGAGGAGGAAGACAAGAGGAAAGAAGTAACACTGAGCATCCACATCTGCTGTAGAGGCTACAGGTCACATTTATATCTTTGTTTCTGTGAGCTGGCACAGCAGCCCTCAAGGGAATAAGATGAGGACACAAGTGAGGAGACGTGAAGTCATACAGCAGGGGTGTGGTGGAGCCAGAGTTCACACTTGGGCCTCCCTTGATTCTGAGCTGATGCCCTTTCCATTGCTTGCACCTAGTGGCTTCAGAAGGAAGAGCCACCTGGGGGGGCTGGCCTGGGACCAAGTGAGTCCCTGGAAGTGGGAGCTAGGATGGCCTCTTGATGTGGCCCTGGACCATTCGCTTTGTGGGAAGTCAGTGCCAAGTCTGAGAACCTTTTCTCCTTTAGATTCTTGATTGGCACTTCCTTGTGCTTAGGAAGAATGATAGTGTCGGGGAGCAGGGGGTGAGGGCTGGGATGAACCCACAATGGCAGTCTTTGCCTTTAGTGGCAATAGTTTAGTTCCCAAGGCTGGGACAGCTTGGCAGGGGTCCTCCCAGCTTCCTGCCCTCCTGGTTTAGGCCTGGCTTCACATGGCGGATTTCAGTGTTTTCTGCATGGCAGTTTAATGTTCACCCAGATTTCCTCCAACAGATACAGAAGACCCCTCTCTACATCTCTTGCCAGTTGGGTCTTGCTCTTCCCGAGTGAGGGGACTTCTTCATTGTAGCTAATTGCCAGAATATGATTCTGACACCACCCATAACCTAACCTATCACATGGGATCCTGCCACCCACCCAGGAAGGGATGTGCTAGGAGCTTTATACTCATCATGTTGAATTCTCACGTTAAGCCTGGGAAGTAAGAATCACCCACATATATGACGGTTGGAGAAACAGGCAGACAGAAAGTGACTTACTCGAGATTACTTGGCAAGTAAATGGCAGGGTCAGGAACTGAACCTACTTCTGCCTAAATCCAAAGCCTGTATTTTTTCCAACTATAAAGGACTTCCCAACCAATTCCCTGACATATGTAGGACACTACAGTTTACAAAGCACTTTTTAAAAAAAGCTTTTATTTTAATGACCCAGTGCTCATCACGACAAATGCACTCCTTAATCCGCTTAACCTGTTTCATCCATTCCACACCCCCCTTCCCTTCTGGTAACCAGTTCTCTACAGTTAAGAGTCTGTTTCTTGCTTTGTCTCTCTTTTCTTTCCCTTTAGCTCATTTGTTTTGTTTCTGAAATTCCACTTATGAGTGAAATCATTATGGTATTTGTCTTTCTCCAACTGACTTATTTCACTTAGCATTATATCTCTAGCTCCATCCATGTTGTTGCATATGGCAAGATTTCATTCTTTTTTATGACTCAATAATATTCCATTGTCTGTACACCACATCTTTATCCATTCATCAGTTGATGGACATGTGGGCTGTTTCCATAATTTGGCTGTTGTAAATAATGCTGCTATAAACAGGGGTGCATGTATCCCTTTGAATTAATGTTTTTGTATTCTACAAAGCACTTTTATTGCATATACATTTTCCTGCTCCTTGAAAATCTGCATACAAGATATTTTAAACATAAGTCACCAAACTTGCATGTATGAATTGGCACACTCCCTAATAGTTAAAGTTGCCATCAAACACCACTGAGCACCATTTCTCATGCATCTATTATCTCTGATCTCCATAACTATCCTGTAAGGTGGTAGTATCCCCATTTTTGAGATAAAACAAATCTGAAAGGTTAAATGACCTGACCTAATGGCTAAGCTGTGATCCAAATCAGGTATGTGGGATTCCAAGGCCACACTCTTCATTATATCCACTAACAAGTTAGGTCTACTGGTCCTGTCTGGGGAGCTTGATACCATCCTTCCAGACCTAGAGCCTTAGTGACAATTGCTGTGACTTTCTGGGAGTCTCAGCTGCCAGTAAGACCCAGGACCAATGAACTTGCTTTGATCTTAGGACATGACTTGCTGGCCAATCTCATTTGCCCCTTTTGACCAAGTTCATAGGCTAGGGTTTCTGTGTTGGTTCGGACCTGTGAGTCCTGACTAGTCCACTTATTCACTCTCTGACTTCCTTTTTTGGTAACCTCCCTAATTTCCTCTTTCATTCCCTTCATTTTCTGAGTGTAGGAGACTGGCACATAAACCCAGAGTTACAGTGCAGGATGATAGGTGTCATTATTGTTGTCCCTAGGGTGCTCGAGGAGGGTCTTAAACTGGCCTGTACTGGACATTGGGGTCCAAAATTGAATAAGACAGTCTTTCCTGCAGGGAACTCAGAGGAAGACAAACTCCTTAGAACAGAGTATTGGGAGACCACGGTGGGAATGGCTAATTCTTTGGAGGGAAGGAGAAGGTGAGATGATGATTGAGCCTGGTCTTGAGTGAGTAAGTGTTTACTAGGCAAAGAAGAGGAAGGTTACTTCAGATGGAAGGGAAAGCTTGGTGTTGTAAGGAACAGTGAAACATTTGACATAATCAGAGTGTCCTGTGAGGAGGAGATGAAGCTGGTAGGTAGTCAGGGACCAGATTGTGAAGGGTGTTGGATGCCAGGATAAAGAATTTTGGACTGTAGACCACAGAATTTTAAAGCAGGGGAATGGCATGATCATTCAGGCTAGTGTGGAGGGTGAACTAAAGGGGGTTAGGTAAGTTGGAAATATGCCAAGTGCCAGTTGGAGTCCTCCTGACCCACAGAGATCTCTGTATGATTGCCTCAGAGCCTTGTCAGTTCCACAGAGTGGGAAAGTCCAAACCCTCCACACAATTTCTGCAGGTTCCTGAGATTCATACTCTCATGGTCTCCTTTTGCCTGAGGTTCCCAAGACTGTACAAGCCTCTGTTTTGTCTCTGTCAGCCCTGTCGCAGAACTAAGCACCTTCATTGGCTTCCCCAAGAAATTCTGCCACATCAAGCATTCTGTAAGTTTAGAATCCCTTTGAGAGATTGGAAGTCTTGGGGAGGGGCTCCCATCATGGCATGTCCCTAGCTTCCTCTCTTCCCTCCCATTGCTGCCCTTATCCTCTCCCAATTGCCCTGGAAACTGCAGATTCTTTTACTGTCTTATAAAGATTTTATTTATTTGTTTATTTGAGAGAGAGAGAGGGAGGGAGAGCTCGAGCAGGGTAAGGAGCAGAGGGGGAGGGAGAGGGAGAAGAGGAAAGAATCTCAAGCGGACTCCGTGCTTTAGACCAACATGGAGCTTGATCTTAGGACGCTGAGATCATGACCTGAGCCGAAACCAAGAGTTGGGCACCTAACTGACTTAGCCACCCAGATGCCCCAACTTTTACTCTATTACAGAAAGCTGTTTGGCTTTCCTCAGTCCCTGATGCCAATTTGCATACAGAAACACATCAAGGAGCTCAGCAGAACAAAGGCTTCACCATTTAACAACACAACACCTACCTCAGGAAGCAGTTGCAAAAATAAACCAATAAATACCCTTGGAGATTCACAAAGCATGTAAGCATATTAAAGGTTTAAGACTCTAGTCTGAACAAAAGTGATTGTTTCCCCTTCCTTCTGAAATAACATAAAAGGAATCGAAACATAACAGCAGAGAGAATGGCAGGGAAGAGGGGTGGTATGTGCAGAGACTTCAACAATTTCTAAAAGTAGATGACACACATTGATGACTTAGCAGAGTGGTGGAAGCCACAGCCCAGAATTCAGACGATGGAAGTGAGAGCCAGCCTTCCTGGCAAAACCACAGAGAGACTCTGAGTTCATGGTTGGCAGGTACTGATGACATGAAAAATGGGTCTAAAAACTATACAGTTTGTAGAAGGTCTGTCTGTGCCACTGCACCAGTCACCTCCCTCTTACCTCCAGAGTGGAGAGTAACTGATGCTTACCTCCAGACAAAAATAAAACACACATAGCAGGACCCCAGAAGGCTCATTCTATAGAAATCCAATAAATCTGGAGAAATCTGGTATGTTTAGTATAGCATTGATATCCCAGAATAAAACTTTTGTCATTGTGACATTTACAAACCCTCTTCCCACCTCATCCTCCAACAATGACCCATCCACTCACACTACAGAAAAGCCTTCCAGAAGACCCCCCTCAGCTTTCCTGTTCAAGAGAGTGACCTCTCAGGGAAACATACAGCAACAGAGGGAACCAACTCAATTACTGAGATTAATCAACTTGGTCTGTTATTCCATAAACAGTCAATGAGGAACACCAGAGTTAAGAATATGGCTAGAAGCATGAAAGAGAGAGACAAGGTAAAGAGAATAAGTGACTCCAGACAACAGAAAGTTATAATGGAGCAGTAGAATCTTTAAAAATTCTAATTATATTCTCAGGAAGATCTGGGAAGATACCACCTCCATAAAACAAGAAACGTTGCTAGTGGAAAGGAAAAATTGGAAAATAGCAAATAGCTTTTGGAAATTAAACATATGACAGCTAAAATAAGATATTCAAGAGACCACTTGGAAGAGAAAATCAAGAAAAGCTTCTACGATGTAGAGCAAAAATACAGACAAGGAAAGAAGAAATAAAGCACATAGAAGATCAACTCAAGAGGTTCTTTTGATGAAGACTGTTGGTCGTCCTCCAAAATCTGTTCTCTCGTTTTGTTGGAGCACTGAACTAACCAACATTTCCCAGCCTCCTTTGCAGTTAGGTATAGTCATATAACTTAAGTTCTTGTCCCTGGAAGATGAGCAGAAATGGTATGTGACATTTCTGGGCTTAGACCTCAGGAAAGCAGCATGTCTTCACCTCATTTTCTTACCACCTTTCACTAGTTGTAACCTGCGGGAATGCAGCTTTGATAGTTGCAGACTATATACTGCCCTAGTGTCAATTTGCCAGATAGAACACAAAACACCCAATT